TTGCAACTTTAATCATGGAACACAATCCCACCTAAAGCATCTACATTTATGTTTAAGTAGACTAAATCATATCATTAGATTTAAGATGTCTCACTAAGATTGAATCAATATATTATGTTTACACTAGACTAAATTAATATCATTACAATTTGCTAAACTTATTCTTCTGATAACTTGTTATTTGTATAATGTTATACCTAATTTATCTTTTTAAAAAATACCCTATGGGATTGATTTAAATGCCCTGAATTAAACTCGAAAGTGTCTGTTTGGCTTGTAAAAATGGTCGGTTCTGATGGAACCAGATGAGCGTGCTAGGATTTGTTGTAGTTCCAAAGAAAGATCCAAACAATATTTTAAATGTAAGATTGCGAGACCAGGCGATTGTGAAGAAGTCTGGAATGAACACCTCATGGTTCTTTTTGCTTTTGATAAAGGACTTCGGGATTGCTACTTTGCTAAGGAAGAAAGAAATATTTTTTAACAACGAAAGAAACGGCATCGAAAAATGAGTTCTGAGCAAAAAGATATGCCCCGAGTAAGAACGGCGACTCCCCAGGTAGAAAACCCTTCGAGAGAAAACGTCTGAAAAGCATTTCTAAGAGTATGCAACTCGATGAAATGCGAAAATGAATCCCGTACAAAAATCATATCCCAAAGCAGGACACTTGGCATTAACTTTCATTAATTGCACAAACTCCACTAAAATATCTCAAAAGATATTTACGTAAATGACCCAAAACAAAAATATCTTCCAAAAGATTTTTCTCATAAACCCCTGAAATAAAATATCTTCAAAAGATATTTTCAAAAAGACCCCAACAATGAGAATATTCTCAAAACTTAATCGCACAAATAAACCCAAAATACAATAAGTGAAATAAAAATAAGGACAAAGCAATTATCAAATGAAAGAAGTGTCAGGAACTATTCCCGAGCACTCAACTCAACCTGAATGGAAAAAACCCGAACACAAAAAAAATAAAATAAAACAATGGAAAAAGAAAATCCATAAAAATGGAAGAAAAAAGAATCGGTCTCTATAAGAAAGGTATTAATAAATATATCAGTTTATGAAAAAATCTCAAACAACAACATCAGCTTTAGTCGGCAAAATATAATCGTAAAATCTATTGCAACTCTAATCGTGTAACACAATCCCACCAATAGCATCCACATTTATGTTTAAGTAGACTAAATCATATCATTTATATTTAAGATGTCTCACTGAGATTGGATCAATATATTATGTTTACACTAGACTTAAGTAATATTATTACAATTTGCTAAACTTATTCTTCTAATAACTTGTTATCTGCATAATGCTATACCTAATTTATCTTTCATAAAAATTCCCCATGTGATTGATTTAAATGCCCTGAATTAAACTCGAAAGTGTCTGTTTGGCCTGTAAAAATGGTCGGTTCTGATGGAACCGGATGGGCGTGCCAAGAACTGGTGTAGTTCCAAAGAAAAATCCAAACAATATTTCAAATGGAAGATTGCGAGCCCAGATGATTGTGAAGATGTCTGGAATGAACACATCAGGGTTCTTTTTGCCTTTTATAAAGGTCTTTAGGATTGCTACTTAGGTAAGGAAGAAAGAGCGAAACACTCCGTTCAGAAGGTCTCGCTGGGCATGCTAATACGTTTGGCCTGCAAAAATGGTCTATTCTGATGGAACCGGATGGCGTGCCAGGAACTGCTGTAGTTCCTAAGAAAGATCCAAACAATTTTTTAGATGGAAGATCGCGAGACCAGGCGATTGTGAAGAGGTCTGGAATGAACACCTCAGGGTTCTTTTTGTCTTTGATAAAGGACTTCGGGATTGCTACTTGGCTAAGGAAAAAAGAACTACTTTTGAAAGTAATTGACTTGGCTGTAAAATATTCTAATGTAAAGCAGTAAAGGTGCAGGACTTAAGCTAGACATGTTGGAATTACATTGCAATGAAAATATGAATTGTATTGGAATGTTATGTTTGTTGTGTTGTGCGTTGAGCAGGCCTTTTAAGTTACAATATCATGCCCTATTTATAGAATTTGGTAATGGCAGTTGGCATGTCCCGTAACTTTCCACTTGCATGTAACCGTTTGTTTCCTTGGCTACCATGTGTCCCATGACTTTCCACTTGCATGTAACCGTTTGCTTTCTTGGCTGTCATGTGTCCCATGACTTTTTACTTGCATGTAACCGCTTGCTTCCTAGGCTGCCACGTGTCCCATGACTTTCCACTTGCATGTAACCGTTTGCTTCCTTGGCTGCCACGTGTCCCATGACTTTCCACTTGTATGTAACCGCTTGCTTCCTAGGCTGCAACGTGTCCCATAACTTTGCACTTGCATGTAATTGCTTGCTTCCTTGATTGCCATGTGTCCCATGATTTTTCACTTGTATGTAACCACTTGCTTTCTAGGCTGCCACGTGTCCCATGACTTTGCACTTGTATGTAACTGCTTGTTTCCTAAGCTGCCACGTGTCCCGTGACTTTCCACTTGCATGTAACTGCTTGCTTCCTTGGCTACCACGTTTGCATATCACCCTTCTATTGGAATCGGCTACAATAACTTTTCATTGGAAAATGACCGATGATTATGATGCAAATAGTTATAGTTGTGGCCTTTTTATTAAGCCATGTGTCCACCTTGGATTGGGTTTTAGCCAAAGTTTTTAGAAGATAGTGATTTCCACTGGAATATTGTAATACCTTCCATTGAAATCGACCAGTGCAACCTTCTACTGGGAAGTGACTGATAATTATGATGTAAACAAAATTGATATAATAAGTCTTATATAATACTCATCATGTGTCAACTAGTCATTGGCTGAAATATATGGTGTAAACAGTGTCTTTGTACAATAAAATGTTTAATTTTTATTCAAATAAAAACAAATTTCTGTCTAAATATTATTCTAATAAGGATTACAATTTGTTACAAATATATTATTCTAATAATGATTACAATTACCATCCTAAAAATAATATCTCTAATAATGATTACAATTACCATCCTAAAAATAATATCAATAATTACGTTGAATCCAATTTTGTAATTAAATTTTTAATAATCATATAAAAACACTTTTTCTTTTTTTTTTTTCCTTCTTTTTTGCTGTTATCAGACTTTTTATCACTAAAAAAAGATAACAGAAATACTAAAACTGACAAAACCAGACTCTTGGGTGTTCATGTTTCACAAAAGCATGGACCAAATCACAATAGTCCTTATTTAATCAATTTAAAAAAGGGTTAAGTGTAAAAAAAACCCCTCATATATAGACTTTGTGCCGAACAAGTCCCTACTTTTTGAAATAGTGCATGCAAGTCCACAAAATTTAAAAAAGGTGCATAACCGGTCCCTCTGACAACTTTTTACAAAAAGTAAAACTTAAAATCCCATTTTACCCTTTTGTTTCCCACTTTGCCCCTTACCATTTGTGCATAAAAGGCCCTCACCAATCGTGCATTTAAGGACCCCTACTTCTAAACCCAATTCCCTCTCTCTCTTTCTCTCTCTCTCTCTCTCTCTCTCCCTCTCCATGTTTGCTTCAATTCTCTGGGGGAAATTTTAAAAACTCACCAATTATTCTTGTTTAAGCTTGCCCTGAATCATCCATTAAAAACTTTGTTTCTCACTGCTCATCTACTTTGGAACAGTTCCACAAAACTCAAACTGTCCTTTTATTCTAAGAAGACATTGTTGTTCATTAGGATCCTCGTGGAAACATCAATATCTATCCTTCCACGTGAAAATGGCAATAGGGTCTTAAGCCCTTTCCTTCCATCTCCTTGTTTCAAACACTTGTGCTAGCAAGACAGAACTGTAGTTTCAAGTAGCTACGCCCAAAAATCACAAAGGTGAAAGAAGTTGAGAAGATTACAAGTACTATTTCTAATCATATTCCGTTGCAATTTAATTCAATCTTATCTTTTGTACTCTCTTCCTGACCTCTTAGCTCAATCTCTGCTTCACCCATTACGAATCTATCTCCGAACAATCCATAACTTTACCTCTAACATTTTGTTCTGCTCTAGCAATCATTCTTCACATACCCATTAATTATTTTCTGGTTTCAAAGCTTAATTTAGGAATCAATGGTCACTTGTTGAACCCGAACTAGAACAACGGCTGAAGCTTGTGAATGGCGAACGGCGAACCCGAACTGGTTCAGTTGGCGATGGAAACAGAAAGATATGGGTTTTGATTTTTTGAACAATATGAAATGATATGCCGATATGGGTTTTGAACTTTTGATTCTTGCAGTAGATAGCTAAACTAAAATATATGGGTTTTGAATTTCTGATTCTTGTAATTTGCAGTTGCAGAGAGAAAGAGAGAGAGAGAGAGAGAGAGAGGGTAGGCAAGTTCAGAGTTGAGAACGATAATAGTGATGGAGGCAGCGGCGGAGGCTGAAACAGATTTGCCCTAATGTGCATATATATATATATATATATATATATATAAATGATAAATTTATTTATATTTTAAAATATGAAAGGGCATGTCTGGTTTTAGATTTAATTATATTCATGTTTAAGTTATTCCTATTTTATACAATTTGAGGTTTATATTATCTTTCTGCCAAACAAACCCCATTTTATATAAATTTGGACAAAATGGTCATTTTACATGGCCTGTATTTATAATCATTAATTTATTCAACTGAAGTGAGGGTATTATCGTCATGTTACACCACCAGGGATCCAATCGCACTAAATTAATAATATAAGGAAGTTTTTTATTACACATGGACTGATAAGCACTATATCCATAATAGAGGGGAGTTTTTTTGCACTTAACCCTTTAAAAAATGAGGGGTGTTTTTCAACCGACAGGGGCCTCTGTACATTGCAGGGGATTCTCTACACTATACCTTCTACCAGAAAGACTCAGGGAGACCGTAATCAAGTGGTTCAACGTAGCGAACGGCCTGGATTGATCTGTTACACGTGTGCGGCTACAACGTAACGTGAGCTGTGATCATGAAGTTCATTTACACTTTTATATTCCCTTGGAGAGCCAAAATCGAGTGCTCTTCCCTTCAGACACCGAATCATACATTTCGACACTACAGCAAAATCGAGTGCTCTTCTCTTTACAGCCGGTATAGTTTCGCCGGAACCTTCATTGCCTACTAAACCGAAAATGACGGCCCGTACAAATCACCGGCCATCATCGAAGGTACGGATAACGCGTGCTCTATGTTTCATTCCATTTTTAGGGTTTGAAAATGTCTGTTTAGTTTATTGTTTAAACTCTCAGAATCAACTTTGATACTTGTTGCATACCATGATTTTGTAGTGAAGTGCGGTGTAAAGTGACGTTGTTTTTGTGAATTTTTGATGAATTCAAGGTCTAGGGATTGATTTGCAGACTCGGCTTATGTGAAGAGTGCTGTCCATACACGAAAGGGACTCTCGTTTTACTAAAGGTGTTCTTGTTTTGGAGATTATTGGTCTAAACTGCTTTATTTTGGGATTTATAGTTGTTGAATTGGAAAGTGTAAAATGGTATGTTCTATACTCTCTTTTAATATATTTATTTATTGGTTGATCAGTACTGTCATTTGTTGCACTCAATTGTATAGCTTTTATATAGAAATTTTGTTGATTTCTTTGAACAAATCCATAGCCATTGGCTTTATGTAACAAATTTTGTTATCCGGTTAAAGCTTGAATGGACTGCACATGGATTTAGTTTTGAAGCAGTGGGGTTCTTCCGCGTGCGTATGGTAAATTGTAGAATTGGTTAAATGCACTATTTGCTGAATGATAATACAAAGGATTGCAAACATTTAATCAGGGCCAAGCTGAAATTGTGTTTTGTTTTGGGTGGTTCTAACTGGATGTTGGCAATATTGGAGGAGTCACTATTCTAAGTTAGTGCCAATTAGTGTTTTTTGATGTATGTTAAGTAGCACAGTGGTGAAAAACCATATAAATATTGAATACATTTTTAGATATGGGTAGTTATGGGATGTAATTCTAAGCTTATGATTGGTAATTCCTAAATGTCTACTTAATCTTAAAAATAAGTCTAGGATGATCCTATTGCGAATATTGCTTAACTAGTATAGGCACTTTACTAAAGCAATATCAAGAAATAAAAGACCCACCCAAGCTGAATACAAACTATGAAGGGCCACAAGGCTTTTTGTGCCCCTAATTTTGTCTGAGAAATAGAAGACCCCTCCAAATAATGTTTTCTATGTTCTTACGTCTTTTCAACATACTGCTTACAATAATTGACTGATCTTAAAGATTTGCATATCAAATATTGCCGTTATTTGTATTTCAGAGTTGCTAGTAGTTAAATCTAAGTCAGGTTGCTATCCATTTTTTTTTTATAAGTTAAATGTATAAAAGGCGTTCAAAAGGGGAACGCGTCCCAAGCTATACAAAAAACTGAAACTATGATCTGAAGGAGCCCACAAAGTCCACAATATCCTCAATGGAGGAAAAATCTCTCTCCCAATCCCAACAAAAAAGAGTACAAATAATAGAGAATTTCAACACCCCAATGGAGGCCTCCTTCCCATCAAAAGATCTTCTATTCCGCTCTTTCCAAATGCTCCACCAAACACAAAAGGGGGTTACCCTCCAGAAGACTCTCGCCTGAGCCCCCACCCATTGGCCCCTCCAAATATCCAACAAATCCCGAGATGTCCGAGGCATAACCCAATGAATACCAAACAAATCAAAAATGAGACTCCAACAATCATGAGCCACAGGACAATGCAGCAACAGGTGATCCGCTGACTCCCCATTCAACTTACAAAGACCACACCGATTAACAATAATATGTCTTCGTTTCCTCAAGTTATCCAAAGTCAAAATCTTGCTCCAAGCTACAGTCCACACGAAAAAGGCCACCCTAAGAGGCGCCTTAGACAACTACACCGTCTTCCACGGTAAGGAAGCGCCATGAAAACTAGAAAGGTATACAAAAAAAGACCGGACCTGGAACATCCCCTGAGAAGAGTGCACCCAAAACAGGGAGTCAACACCAGTGCCCTCCACCTCCTGTCTGTACAAGAGAGCCAACAAGCCAGTGACATCATCCAACTCTCAATCCTGAAAAGATCGCCGAAATCGCACATCCCAAGATAAGCTCCCGCTATCAAGGCAATAGCAGTTAGCAACCATAGTATGTTTGTCAACAGCAATCCTAAACAGCCTTAGAAACAAAAGAGCCAGAGGCCTATCCGTGCACCAGGGATCCTCCCAAAACCGGACAAACCTTCCATCCCGAACTTTGAATCTAACATGTTTGGAAAACTCGTCCCATCCTTTTCCAATGGCCTTCCACACCCCTACTCCACTAGCAGACCTGACTGGCCTAGCTGACCACCCCCCTCTCTCCTCCCCAAAGCGACAGGAAATAACCCTTCTCCATAATCTATGCCTTTCACTGCCGAATCTCCAAAGCCACTTACCAAGGAGAGCACTATTAAAGGGGGCCAATCTCCTAATCCCAAGCCCGCCCAACTGAAGAGGCCTGCAAACCTGCTCCCACCTAACAAGATGATACTTAAACTCCTCTCCACGACCCCCCAAAGGAAGTTACGTTGCAACATCTCCAGACGGCCAACAACCGAGGCTAGAACCCGAAAGAGCGAAAGAAAATACGTTGGAAGGCTTGACAAGACGCTTTTCACTAGCGTAACTTTACCACCCTTGGAGAGATATTGCTTTTTCCAACCAGCTAATATTCTTTCGACCCTCTCAATCACTGGGTCTCAACTTCCCACCCTCCTGGCCAAGTCCCCCAGCTGCAAACCCAAATACGAGATAGGGAAACGTTGTGTCCCACACCCTAAACTGTGTTACCTGGACTCGCCGGCGACGGCCAGAGTGTCCGTGTTGACACGACACGACACAGACACCGACATGGGATATGTGTCCGACCCTCTGATCTTCAACCGGACACGGCTGATGACGAAAATAAACAAAAGGATGTGTAACTCGATGCTTGTGAAGGATTAGGGATTTTTTTCGTGTTTTATTTAATAGATCTGTAGCTATACGAAGCTTCCTGGTTCAACAATGGCGCTCTGATTCGAATCGGTGGTCTAAAGGTTGAAGACGACTTCTTGTTTGTGAAATCGCATGCGCTGACTTTGTAAGTACCTACCTGAGCGTGGTTTCACGCAATTGTTAATACCCAGCCTTTAATGGCCAGGATGATGCCACCTATTTACCTATTTATTTGGATCTGAAAAGATAGAGACAATAATGGGCTTTTTAATAAAAGTAAAAAATTCAATGCCTTACAGCTGGAAAGCAATACCTACAGCTGTGTGTGGTATACAGCTGTTACTTACCTTTATTACGAGTTATGACTGATATACATATTGTTTATATTGTTGAGTTGGGCTTCCTTGTTAATTGTGCTTTGACTTGTACAAGCCCAAAGGTCAAGACTAAGATGACAATTAAAAGGCATCTTCGCCCAAGCCCAAACTTGCCCAAAAGGAGCCCTTAAAATTTCTGATTACAGGTTCCCATCAAATAGTAACACGGGAATGCATATCCATGACTATGGCCATGCCACCAATCAAATGAGGCAAACAAATGGTAGTAATAATTATAAAATGTTTATAAAAAATTACAATTGATATATTTATTTTTTTAGTTTTATGATTGATGTATCAAACATAAAAAAATATTCCAATTTTTTTTTTAACTTTCCAAAGTGTCCGAGTACTCGTGTCCAATATTTGGACACTTTTGAGCTGTGTCCATGTATCCTGTAAATTGATAGATTGACGAATCCGACCCCTAGACACACACCTGTGTCCGACACCCGTACCCGAGTCCGGGTAACATAGACCCTAAAGCAGCGGCCAGAGTGTCCACCTCCTGAACCTCCCCCACAGGGATAAGCACACTCTTGCCCACGTTGCTTTTCAAACCAGAGACAGCCTGAAAGCAAACTAAGACACATCTCAGATACCTCAACTGGGACACCTCTGCCTCACAAAAAACAACAGTCTCATCCGCAAAGAGCAAGTGAGAAATCTCCATTTGCTGAATGGAGTCGGGACCGATCTTGAAACCCCTGATAAAACCCAAATCCACCGCCCTTCTCATCAACCTACTAAGAGCCTCCATAACAATAATAAAAAGGAACGGGGAGAGAGGGTCCCCCTGCCTCAGACCGCGAAAGCTACCGAAGAACCCCGCGGGGGACCCATTCACCAACACTGAAAGCCTGACAGTGGAAACACATGAAACAATCCATTTCCTCCATCTCTCACCAAAGTCCATCCTCTCCAACAGGTAGAACAGGAAATTCCAGCAGACATGATCATAAGCTTTCTCGATATCCAGCTTACAAAGAACCCCAGAGCCCCACTACACAACCGAGAATCCACACATTCACTGGCAATAAGAGCAGAATCCAGGATCTGTCTACCCCCAATGAAAGCATTCTAGGACTCAGAAATAACTCCATCCAAGACCTCCCTCAAATGGAAAGCAAGGACTTTTGCGATGAGCTTGTAAATGCATCCAATCAAACTGATTGGTCGAAAATCCTTAATGTGAGAAGCACCACCCTTCTTAGGAATAAGAGCAATAAAAGATGCGTTCAGTGATTTCTCAAACCTCCCGGTGGAATGAAACTCATGAAAAGTGCCCATCACCTCATACCGGACCACCTCCCAACTCTCCAACAGAAATCTCATAGTAAAACCGTCCGGGCCTGGAGCCTTATCACCATTACAGCTCTTAAGGGCCTTCAGCACCTCTTCCTCCGAAAAGGGATTTTCCAACCCATCTCTTTCCAATGTAAAAATAGAATCAAAGTGAAGATCATCAAGACGTGGCCTCCATCGAAGAGGCTCAGAATAGAGCTTTTGGTAGAAAGAGACAATACCGCTACGCACCTCCTCCTCCGTAGTCAAAACCGCTTCATCCACACACACCCGCCCAATGTGATTATTCCTCCTTTGAGCATTAGCGGTTCTATGAAAAAACTTGGTATTCCGGTCTCCCTCTTTGAGCCATAAGGCCCGAGATTTCTGACGCCACGAAATTTCCTCCAATACTGCAATCTCCACACATTCTGCCTGACAAGCTGCTCTCCTACTGCGTTGGGATTCAGCAAGAACACCCTCCCCTTCCAGTCTATCAATCTCGGCAATATCAGCGAAAGCCCTATTCTTTCTCCACTCCAAGCTCCCAAAAACCTCCTTATTCCACCTTTTAAGATTATTTTTCAGAATATGAAGCTTTCCTGCAAGAATGAAACTCGATGTGCCCACCACCAGGTTCTCCTCCCACCACGAACGCACAAGTCCCTGGAAGTTATCCGCACAAAGCCACATATTCTCAAATCTGAAAGGAGTGCAACGAGATCTCAACCCTCCACAATCCAGAACCAAAGGAATGTGATCCGAAGTCACCCTAGCCAACACAGCCTGAACAACATCCGGGAACTTCTCTTCCCAGTCACCGGACAAACACATAAATATAGACACAAACTCTAATATGCACATTTATGAATTATAGAAGCAGTATGTAGAACAAGAAGCGGAATATAAGAATCTGCATGTGTGTGTGTATTTGTGAACACATGTCTGTATTTGTCAGTTTGTTTTAATTTAGCAATGTTGTAGAATTAAGCAACTTTCTGTTGTACTACTGGGATACCCTTCTGAATGATCTTTTTGACTGTCTTTCCAGAGTAAAGGATTCTGGATGGCAAAGAGTGGTGAACATTCAACTGATGGGGATACAGTATTTGATGACCCATCGAGAATTGAACCGAAGCGTTCTCATCAATGGTTCACTGATGCTGCTGAACCAGAGGGGTTCCCCAACAAGAAGCAAGCTGTACAAGCTCCATATAGAAAATCGACTTCAGGATTTGTCAATTCAAATGCTTCTCACTGGGAGAATGGTTCTGGTTTTCAGTCAGTCCCAAACCAATTCGTTGACCGGTTATTCGGATTTGAGCCAACCAGGCCCGTGAATTATACTGAAAGAAATGTTTCTCCGGTTGGAACAGATAACCCAAATATCAGAAAAAGTGGTATCAATGAGCCATTTGGATATGATCCTTCTGTTGGTTTGTCTATATCTCCTGCCATGGAAGATCCTGTAACCAGTCTCAGCTATGGTGGAATCAGAAAAGTTAGAGTCAATCAAGTTAAGGACTCTGACAATGGTCAGCACAAAGCGACGGAACATGACTGTGGCTCGTCTATTGCTCAGGTCTATAACAGGGGAAACGAAACTAGTTTTATATCAGTGGGGCAGACCTATAGTAAGGATGATGGAAGTGTCATGTTAATGGGTCACACCTATAACAGATCCATGGATTCCACCTCTGGAAAAGGGGATGACGATACCATTTCAATTGGTCACACCTATAACAAGGGAGAGGCCAGTACAATATCTTTTGGTGGCTTCCACAATGAACCTGTTATTGATCTATTGGCTCGGCCCATTAGCAGCTATGATATGTTGTATAGTCGAGATTCAATTCAGACATCGGAAACGCCTGGTCAAAAGGAGTTAGATGCATCAAATGCCGGTACAGTTCCAAGTGCCTCCCAGATAGCTAATTCCAGACCAGAGCCTGTGTCCAAAAATATGTTGGAAATGAGGATGGCTAAGAAAGAAGCTCCTAATAGTTTCCCTTCTAATGTCAGAAGCTTGATATCTACTGGTATGCTTGATGGAGTTCCTATAAAGTATGTTTCTGTGTCGCGGGAGGTAAATCTCTGTTCTTTTGTGTTAATTTCATTATAATTTGCTGTTCAGTAACCATATGGTTTTCTCCTTGCATGTGTTAAGGAGCTTCGTGGAATTATAAAAGGTTCTGGTTATCTTTGTGGTTGTCAATCTTGTAATTATTCCAAGGTAAGATTTTCATTTGCTTTCAATTTCGTTTCAACTCTCTGACCAAACTGATAATCCAATGTTTTGTATAAGGTACTCAATGCTTATGAGCTTGAACGTCATGCTGGTTCCAAAACAAAACACCCAAACAATCACATATACTTCGAAAATGGGAAAACCATCTATCAGATAGTCCAGGAATTAAGGAGCACCCCAGGGAGTATGTTGTTTGATGCGATTCAAACCGTGACGGGGTCACCAATCAATCAGAAATCATTCCGCATTTGGAAAGGTAATGAAAATGTTTGGTCGAGTTGATGCTTTGTTTAAGCATCCATGCTTTGTTTAAAAAAAAGAATAGACATCCATGAAGTTTAAGCTCACATACTATTCAAAAAAAAAAAAATCTTCCTATAAGGTTGAACTCTCTCTATCACGCGCACACAAATCAAAATTATCAATTCCTTAGTTATTTGTCCACCCGTTATTATCTTTACCATATTCCTCTTCTTCAGAATCATTTCAAGCAGCAACTCGTGAACTTCAGCGTATCTACGGGAAGGAGGAACTAAATCTATAGGAGGAATACTCTTAATGATCCTCCAAAAGGGCAATCTCTTTATGTGCTAATGCAAATGCTTGATTCTGGTAGGTTGTTTTTGGGTTGCTTTTTTATATGGACAAACTCTGCCTTTCTAAGTTTGATGCACAACCAATTTGATGTAAATTTGAAGTGGTTGTTATGGTTCCATTAGGATGAGTTGTGGTAGACTGCGTAATTTTGTTTACAAAGAAGAAATGAGATCACATTGTAGCCATTGGAAATCTTGTTTTATGGTAATTTAGAGGAAATCAGTGGTTGTCAGTTCCACATTTCTGTTCAGTCTGAATGGTGAGATTCAATTTGTTAACCATGTGGCAGTGGGTAGTTTGGGAGGAAAAACACTCTTCATTGTTCTAGCAGTCGACTTTCTGGAATTTTTTCCGCAAAATACTTGTTCATAATTTCCTGAATTTTGAAAATTACAAAAAAAAACCTTTAACTCAGCCGAACTTAATTTTGCTACTACTAAATGGAAAACATGTGGGGTTGCCCTGGGTCACCGAATCAGAAATATAGACTGGTGGGTCCCACACCAGAACAGGTGGGTTGTGGGGCTCACCAGTATTCGATTCGGAGTCTTCGCACTAAAATACTGACGTGTGCTGGGCCCAAATTCTCCATTGTATACTTAAGCCCATTAACAAACGCACGTCTTAGGCCGACCAGAATTGCTTGCTTTGCCCATTCCAAACATGAACAGATGTTGGGTGCCCGGCCCAATAAGGACTTATCATTTCCTATTGTTATCAAGGTAACCTGAAAGTTCTAATTGAACTAGTAGGGTACTACAGGTTAGGTATTCTGGAGGAATTAAAAAGTTTTATTTTGAAAACAAAGATTAGACCGCAAAAATGGGGGAAAGGTTCTGTTTTTCATACTGCGTGTTAGAAAGCTAAATCACAATCAATCATTAAAAAAAATCTATAGGATAACCTTAATTATTTATATTCATTGACAGCTCATTGCGTGTAACAATCGATACACGCTCTTGTTATCATCAGAGTTCTTGTTGCACCTTATTCTCCAGAAGAATAAATACATTTTTTATAATGATTTTCAGGTAATTCAATAGATTAAAGAAGTTTTTATGCATAATCCGTGTCTTAAATTATTGCTCGGTGAATTGCATCGTCTTCTTGACTTGCCAAATGTTACGTTAACGACAATGTGAATTGCATCGTCTTCAAGTGCTTGTACCAGGAGACGTAATAAAATTTATATACGGAACTACTAATATTTTTATTGGAGCACTTCTCCCTCAAGTACCACAGCAAACTGTCAACCTTAATAAAATTTCAAATTATTTTCTACTATTCTATTCTCTAAATATATATTCAGAGAATAAAAAACGCATATTTGGAAGGACAAAATAAATAAATAACGCATATGTACCGCTAAAAACCCAACCTATGGAAGTCACTAAAATAAAGGTTAAAAACGTACTCGTATCAATTACAAAGAACACAGCTAATAACAAGTACCATACAATTATCCTACTTGACCTGAAAAAGTAACCTACTCAATGGGAGAAACTCTAATTTTCCATGCCTGAACTTTAACCCATTACCACCATCAGAAGAAACCTGAATTCAATTTTCTTAAGCACACTGCCAAACTTGTTTGATACTTTTATAAATTAATCAGATGAGAAACCCAATTTGCTGAGATTTAAAATCTAATTTCAAAAATTAAACAAAAAAATACAATTTAATTAAATAAAATACCACAGATTGTTCAGATCTAACCACTGAAAGCAGAATCTAAACAAACCCCCTCCCCCCTCCCAAAATAAATAAAAAAGTTAAATTAAATAATTTTTTATGAAAAAAAAAAAAAAAAAAAAAAAAAAAAAAGGGAAGCAGGAAAAGATGAAGAGAAAGAAGGAAACCACTAAAAAAAAAAAAAATTTGCAGATCTCCCTCGAACAAACAAATAAAATGAAGGGAAAAAAATGAGGTGACTGAATTACCACAGTGGTGACAAAACAGAAGAGTTGGCAACAGCTTGGATGATGAAGCCATGGTCAGCAGCTGGCCATCATCCCTCCTTCCTCTTTAGCAATCAACAAGAAGGTCCGACCGCTTGTATCTCACATGCGACGGATATCAAACCCTATGGGGGTACTTTAATATGATCACATTCAGTGACCCAAATGAAGGACTATGCATATCCTAATTCCTATCAACCCGCAAATCCAGCCAAACAAACATGGCCATACCATAATGTCTCTCAGCAAAAAGAACTTAAATTTTCAAGAACAAAACGAGATGTGAAACATATAAATTTCTCAAAATAATAAGATACTACCTTTCAAACACTAAAAGAGGTTCGAAAAGAAAGATAATATAAAGAACTACACGCACCCAAAACAATGTCATCGCAATTAGATTTCCCATTTTCATTTTTCTCTGGAGGTAGCACCCAAAATGTGGCCCTGCTCCTGCAATAAATTGTTTGTTTAACCGCAGCAAGCTGATTTTTGGGCAACTTGAGCTGCCCCACCTGCTGGATCTGATTGATTAATTTTGATTGTTGTAGGCTGAAAACACACAACCAAACAAGTCTTCAGCACTAATAACAAGAGTTTGATTTCAAATTACATAATTTTTTATTCAAATACCTCGGCCTTGGAGTCGGTGTCTGCAAGCCTTTGCTTTATATCCCTTCCTATTGAGAAGAAAACTTCTTCTACATTAAGATTTGTCTTTGCACTCTGCAGCAAGCGGTATCTTAGACATATACGAAGAAATAATCAACAATCTATTGAGTAGATACCGATGTTGTACTTACAGTTTCAAAGAATTTAATGCCATATTCATCAGCAAGTGCTTGGCCTTTGGAAGTAGGCACAGCCTAAAAAGATTTTCCATTAAGGAGATCCTCAGATTTGGGTTTGACAAGGTAACCATATTGAAGACACAAGAATTGAAATCTCAAGCAATTTAAGTGATAAAAATGACTGGTTTTGAAAAATCAGATTCACACAATAATTTTACCCTTTTGCTTTCGTCCATGTCAGCCTTGTTCCCTACAAGTATCTTGTTGACATTGTCAGAAGCATGCTGCTCAATGTTGCGAATCCAGTTCCTAATGTCTGAAAGCAATGGCAAGAAAACTCTTTAAGAACCAGTTAAGAAAATAAGAAAAACCTGATAATTATAGTTCTGCAAACCAATCCAGGTTATAAACCATTAAATTCTGTCTACACATTATAGAAATGCATCAAGTGATGGAAATATCGTGGGAAAGATCCCAAATAGTAGAGTTTGAAAGAAGCATGGAGATTACAAATAAATGCATCACAGATAATAGATGTGGGAGGGCAGTAAAACTTACTGTTGAAAGATGATTCATCTGTAACATCGTAGACCAGCAAAATACCCATGGCTCCACGATAGTAAGCTGGAATAGAATTTTAAAAGTAAAATGGTTGACCATACAAAAAGGACAAATATGAAGCATTTATAGAGTAAAAACCAATTAGAAGGTGTTGTAAAATTGCAGTTCTATAATTACTCACTCTACACAATCACAATGGTATCCATGCTGTAAACATCATTTATATCGTAAAATACCCAAGAGCAGCTTGACTTAGAAGCAAGAAAATTAGGTAGTTCTCACAATATAATCAACATGATTCTTTTAAAATTAAAAATTATTATTATTTTTATCATTAATATTTGGGACAGATGCATGAGAAAATAGGGTTAATTGCAAAATCCAGTTTTCAACATTAAGATTTCTGAGGTGAAGAATGAATGATTCAAAGACCTTGGAGCTTTTAATTTTTCCATATTGTGCAGTACTGGCAACTACACTAAGGAAGACAGCTCTCCCCATCAAAATACGTATTGCAAAATTGAATAACATTATCTACAGAACCTGAAATTTACCAGTTGTGATTGTTCGGAACCGCTCCTGACCAGCTGTATCCCAGATTTGGAGCTTGATCCGTTTGCCATCAAGCTCAATAGTTCTTATTTTAAAGTCAATGCTGCAAAGGAAAATATGACACCAAAAGGTCAGAAGCACTTTTAGAGAGAAAAACAAAGTACTGCATTTTAACTTGAGATTTTGAGAGTGCGCACCCAATGGTAGTGATAAAACTGGTAGTAAAGGAACCATCAGAAAAACGCAAAAGAAGACAACTCTTACCCACACCTGCAATGGTAGATAAAAATAAACAGATAAACTCATTACTGATTTCTGGGTCATAAATATTTTAATAGGCTCAAAAGATTATGTAGTTCCATTATGTTCTCAAGAACAAGAAGTGAACTCAGGCCCTCGCACTGCTAGTACAATCTACAGAGCTGTCCTTTTCTAAGCATTCAAATAACAGCATCAAATCAGAAAGCCCTTCAGACCAGTATATAAACCAACTTAAGCAGGAAGGAATAAAATGATGAGAACATAATACCCATGAAAACAACCAAATTTCAGAACCCTCAAAGTACAAATACAAAGTTTGCTAATCACATAATGTCACGGCATGTGATATGATCCTATAAGGCATGCACATGAATAACAACATGTGTGGGCACACACCCCCCACCCCAAAAAAAAAATTTGGCTCCGCCCCTGATGCCAAAAAATCCAAACCTCTCACAAAGCCCAGTGTTAGGCTCCATTTTTTTTTTTCCTTTTTTTTTGTTGTCAGTGTTAGGCTCCTTAAGAATATAGATTGTAAACTCTAGGTAGTTTATATAGAAAAAGAAAGAAACCTAAGACATTTACAGAAGATTTCTGAGATTTAAGGCTATTAAAAAAGGATATCAGTTCACTTCTAAACTCAACTCCACACCATCAGCACAAACTAAATTGTTATATTACATAATTTGAGAGAATACTACCAGTTAAAATTATGCATAGACAAATTTGTGTATCAAGGTGGCATCTCCTTGAGAATTGCTAAGACATATAGCAGTTCACTTCTAACATCAAGGTGGCATCTCCTTGAGAATTGCTAAGACATATAGCAGTTCACTTCTAACCTCACACAAACTTAATAGTTTGAATTACATAATTTGAGAGTGTATACTACAATTTATGCATAATCATATTTGTGTATCATAACCTTGAGATTTGCTCATGGTTTCATACGAAACGTACAATTACACGAGAAAACACTCATGACTAATCATTAACGTGGACAATTCATTCACATGAGGAAGCAAATATTTTTCCTTATTGAGAACCCAAACCACAAATGCCCCCACCCCTTTTTGGGTGTCCACAATGGTGGTGTCGGGCCTCTTAAAGCACCCCGTAATCCACCACTGGGCACTGCAGTCCCCCATTCCACATGCACGGGGCAATTACCCGAAAAATTCTCTAGGTGGCCTCAAGGGGATTCGAACTCCCAATATATTGTTCGACTGTATATCTAATCAAAAGAATCTGAAACCAACCAGATCCCATCAAAAAGCCAACTTTTTTAATCCCTGAATTCTGCTAACCGCAAACGAAAATGCTTACAATAATGTGGTAATTATAGGGGATCAATGTCAGAAAATTTCAAATTCAGAACACACGATCCATGGAATTAAACACATTTCAAATGGAATGAAAAAGAAGATTTGAGAAATTAGAAAATGTAAAAGACCGTACCGCTGTCGCCGATCAGGAGGAGCTTTATGAGGTAATCGTAATCGGCTCGAGCCCTTGCAGGTGGAGCGGCCATTGAAGAAGCAACACGAAAAAACCTTCTCAAATTATATATAACTGTGTGTGTGTAATCGAACAACAAGTTAACGAAAATACACCAAAATCAAAAACAATAAAGAGAGTATTCAAAAGAAAGAAGTACCCAATCAGAAATAAAGAGAGAGATCGCCCATGGAAGTTTTAGAGAGAGAAAGAGAGTATTATGTTTGTTTTTACCAAATAACCGAAGTGTTTAATTAGTTCACCGTCCGACCTACAAGCTCCCTACGATGGTGGCTATCATGCGCAGGGTCTCTAATACATTTTGTTATCGTGCGCCGTTTACTCTGCTGCGCACGCTAGCAAGTCTCCAACGGAGAGAGAGAAAGAGTCCTCACTTCATTTACTTCCGCTCTCCGCGTCAGTAAAATCAGGTGACCCCGAGCTCATTATTACATTTAACACTTTTTTAAAAATAAGGTATTGTTATACAGTATAAAACTAAAAATAAAATACCAAAACTTTTAAGTACTGATTTTTTAGTGGTAATTAAAGATTAATTTTTTTAATATCTTTTTATTATTATTATTCTAAACATTTCACATTATAAAACATCCACAATTTTATCTCATTTTAAAGGATAAAGTACAAAAAACCCCATGAATTATGGACCACAATGCAATAAACCTCTTGAATTACAAAAAAAATGTAATTAATCCCCTAAACTATGGTACTTTGTTGCAATTTTATAATTCAGGAGGGTTTATTGCAAAATCTCAATAATTCAGGAAAATTTATTGTACTTTACCCCATTTTAAATGATGCTTCCTATTCTAAGTGATATTCACATTATGTTTATTATGATTAATAAAATAAATTTTATCCTACTATAAGTTGATACATACTTTTTTAAGTGATAATACATTTAATTTCATTTTAAGGAACGCTTACATTTTTTTAGGTGATATTTATATTATGTTATTATGATTTATAAAATATATATATATATATTTTTTACATTAATAAGAAATACACTCACACATTGGGTTACTTATACTTCTTTTAATCACATCTAGGGTCAAACTCCTATCCTCCTCTTTAAAGATGGAGATTACTCCATTGAGCTAGCTGCTCTTTGGTAATCCAATGTTAAAATCACCAAATTTTTAGTCATTCTTTTTTTTCAATTACTTTGATAAACTCACACACTCCCTTTTGTCACTATAAAAACTTGAATTATGAGCTTCTATGTTAAAATGTAAAAAGTAAGTGTTGTCCTTGGTGGTCTGTCATTTTTACTCTCTCTTAGGCTAAATAGAACTATCAAAAAATAAAAATAAAAATGGAAAATAATATATATATATATATATATATATTTTCTAACATATATTTGATTAGTATAGAAATTTATTCAAGAAAATTATAAGAAAATATCATAATAGCAAAAAAGTTAATATATATTTATATATATATATACACAGTGGCGTAGCCACATAGGGACAAGTGGGCCACGTAGGGACAAGTGGGGGCAGCTGCCCCCACTGAATTTTTTATTTTTTTTAATTTTATATAGAAAGATTTTTATATTTGTATAATTGTCCCCACTAAAATAGGACATTGCATATATATATATATATATATATATATATATATATATAACCAAATGACCATTCACGGTATTATTAAAAAAAAAAAAAAAGGAATATAATCTTTCCGAAAAATATGATTTTTTTTTCCATTTTCTCAAAGTATTATATTCTTTCCTACTTTCCCAAAAAATACAAGATATTCTTTCACATTTTTGACTTTACCATAAACAAATGCGTTGTTAATTTCCATCACATTTTCAATCTTCAACATTTCTCTTTTGAGGAGTTTTCAATATTTCAAAAATTTACAAAATCCAAACAAATACTGTAGTGCGGAAACAGATAATCTGATATATATTTTTTTATCATCTAAATTTACTATTATTATGCCATGAACATTTTGAAAACTCAACTACGCACTTTATGAATATGAAAAATATTCTGAAATATTTAGTACTGTTTAATTTTCACATATATTATTTTGGTTCAAATAATATATATGTGTGTGTGTATATATATATATATTTGTACTTACATAAATTGCCCTTATTTGATAAAAATAGTAAATTATAAAATAAATAGTAGAATAATAAAAAATTAATTAGTAGATCTTATAAGCTACTATTTATAGAAGTGTACTTATTTATAACTTTACTACCAATAAAGAAGTTATGGGTTTGCAATTATCAATGAAGCTGTTAAATAACGGTTTGCGAGTTAATTTTTCGGAACGTTTTCTATTCGTTGTATTCAAACTCTAAAAAAAGCTGATTTTATCAAACAAAACGAAGGCTTATGCTAAAATAAAAATAATAAATTTAACTTTTCCTTAAATAATACATTTCATATAATCCTCATGCTACTTGTGTCAAAAATGGTGTTTGACATTAAAAAAAAAAAAATAGTACCAAATCATCAGGAAAAAAAAAAATATCACACTAAAATATCTAAAAAAATAAAATCATCGACTGGAAGTCCAACTTGTATCTCATAGACTCATAGTTATAGAGATAGTATAGATTTCTGAGTTTGCCACGATAAATAATTTTTAAAAAAAGTCACAAAAAAAATATAAAATCATTATGGACCATCTGGCTTGATTTTCTGATAATAATTTTCTATTTGAAAATTGAATTGAGAAAAGGTTTGTTTTTCAGATAAACAATTTTGTAAAGTTTGAAAACTATTCCTTCTATCATAAAACCAAATTAAACAGACCGACATTATCTTTTATGAAATTTTTTTTTTTTTATACAGGAGAATGGGTCGCTGAGCTGGCGACCCACTAGTCCCACTACATATAGTGGATACCAAATCATTGACATACAAGTGTGAATTGCAATTAAGGAAATCATTATTGACAGCTGGTGTCGAGTGGTGATGGATTGCAAAACAGAATTGAGGAAAGTAAATGACGACCGTCGGCCATTTAACATGCTGGTCTCCTTTCAGCAATCTGATCAAACCGGTCACAACGACCTAGAAATTCTATCACGAGAGTTCCTCGAGTGTTGTGATTGATTTACAACTAATAATCACAAAGGAAGGCGAGTGCCGATCAACAATCGCTGGCACTCCTCTTCAACAATTGAGTAAGAAACTCAATTTCAGGAGAAATTTCTCCTATATCATGGAGAGTAGCTCCATTCATTTACCCATATAATTCCCTTGGAAATGTAAGTGCACATGTTTGTCTTCGGTCATTCTAGGAAGCATGAAATGGGACCTTTTAGTATCATCAGCCACACAGAGTTAAGCTATACCAAGAAAATGAAACTTAGTCCCCACAAAAAAAGGAGAGCAATGAAAGAATAGAACAAAGCAATTTCGGTTTGAAGACTATTTTCTCATTAGCAAGGCAACGAGGGAGCATTTTAAACACCACTAAATTAGACCTAAGATAAACTTGTATGGGCACCCATGAACTTGAAACTCAACTTTCCACTTTGGGAGGTAGAGGAGATAAAATTGAGTTACAAAGTTTAACCTTTTCAACAACAAAAATTATCTAACAAATGCAATTTAATTTCCGGAAAATTGGGATTTTCCAACATCACAGTTCATATTTCTTCTATCAATGAAATCCAAAATCGAGAGGGTTCTTTTTTAATCATAATTACCAAAAAAAAAAATACTTTGTAACGGGCTAACAGCTTAAGTTTTCAATAAGCAACAATCCCAAATGCAATACTTGGAAAAGAAAATCAAAACCAAAGACAAAAAAGTCTAACCAGATTCCAAATAAAAATCTATAGAACATAATTCTTTCATAAAAGGCCGCGCGTGACAAAAAAGAAACCCTCAAAATCCCGGCTCAGTAAAAAAAGCCAAGCACTTTACCGCCGACATTCTTTCTCCTAGCTTCTTCATGATCCATGATGCCCGCAGATGTTGTCAACACAATATACCCAAACTGCAAATTTATCACGCATCCGTCATAAATTTAGAAAGAAAAGGGAGAGAAGAAGAAGTTCAAATCACTAGCAAGAAATCTGATGCATAAAGAAAAATAATGTAATTAATCCAGACATGTATCGTGGATATCACATGCATTGAAGATTCCCCAGTGTTCTAAATGGTTCATGTACTATCATATTTATATTTATATATATATATATATATATATATATATAAACAGCAGTGTTCAACTACTCCTTAGTGAGCAGTATACTCACTTTTACTCAAAGCCTTAGGATCTAATCCTAAGACTACTTGAAACTATAGTTAATTTAGGTAATTGTCATTCTTTTAATTAGCCATTAATTATGAAATGACTATATTGGATACTTTCTTAAAAAAAATAATAATAATTTTTTTAATCTGATTAAACTTGAATTACGCCCCTTTCCACCACTGTCGGTCCGTCACCACCAGCCACCTCTACCAATCACACCACACCGCCACCCACCACCTCTATCAATCACACCACACCGCCACCCACCACCACCACCACCACACCGCCACCTACCCCAATAATTATAAGGACGCAAGTTTAAAGATGCATTCTCGATCACGATAGATTTTTTCTATCAGGTTCTTGTGATTTTCTTATGATAATTATGATTAACGATGGGATCTAAATGCAAGCCCCTTTAAGTTGTATATTAGGTTCCTACGAATCACAAGAATAGGGATCTTTCATTTTGATTAACTATTGACACCCAAAGTATATATTGTGTTAAATGTAGCATTACAGTTTGCAGGTGGCTAATTTTGATTTGACAAGATTATCTGAAAGCTTAATCACTTGGCTTATAGTTGTGAATCTGGCATTAACTTGTAGATTTGGTAATTCTTAGATATAAGTTGCCATCAAATCTGTCTGGGTGGAGGTGGTGTGGTTTAGGAGGTGGTGGTGCGGCGGTGGCATAGAGGTGACAGTGGCAGTCAGGGGATGGCAGTTCACGGTTAATTAATAAATTTATTTTTTCTTTTAAAAATGCATCCAATATAGTCATTTCATAATTAATGGCTAATTAAAAGAATGTTAATTTCCTAAAATAATTAGATCCTAAGGACTAAGACTACGAGTAAAAATGAGTATATTGCTCCCTGCTCACCAGGGAGCAGCTGAATGTTACGTATATATCACTTATAATTACCAGTTTCCGCTTAAAATGATATGAAGTGTTATTCAAAGAATAAAATAACAAGGAGTTTTAAAGGCCAACCTGTCTTGAGGGGAGTAGTCTTGCAGTCCAAGGTTCAATTTCTTTGACCCCAACATCAAAACGAGGACTAATAACCCCACATTTGTTCAGCCTTCCATTCAATTCAACCACAATTTTTCCAGATCTGTGATCATCAACATACTCAAATTCTCCAATATAACCTAGAAAAACAATTGCCAATTGGAATTAAACATATATGTAATATTTCAACAACTTTAGTTCTAATTGTAGGATAAAGAAGTTTAAAGCTGATAGAAGAATGAATGCAAGGGGCAAACCATGCTTCTGCATGACCAGAAGAAACTTTATAACCACTTTTGATGATGGCCTGATCATGACCTGTCGTTTTCCCCTCTTCTCTGCATTGTACATGCTCTTAAGAGCATCATTCAAGACACTGACTCTCACCATCTTCACAAATGCAAGCTACTGGAAAAACACAGCAAACATCAAATTGGTAAAACTGCTTAAGAGATTCAATAACTCAATCATAATTGATTGGTTAAGATACAACTGAACAGGAAGGGACCTAATTTTGTGGCTCGCCACTGTAATCTAACGTTACATAAATTGGAGGATCGGCATTTATATTTCCCAGCCAATATAGCTGAAATAAAATCCAATTGACAGATTGCTAAGGACGGACCCAGGAAAATGACAATCGCGTATTGTTAGTCCCGCCTTAAATATAGCTGGGAGGGATCACTGAACCCATAGAACTGCACATGTATTCAATTTTGGTAACTTCCACAATAATTAAATATTTCTCCAAGCCATAGAGCTTGGTGACTAAAAGTAAGGCTAGAGAACAGAAGTTAATTAAAGTACAAATTGTCCATTTAGAGCAAAGGTGTTCCAGCAAACACAGTAAGCTAAAAAGTGTCACCTACATGCTTGGCTTGTCTTGGTCATTGGCCATTAAATGTCTGGTGTGTGTATCATGAATTGGGTAATGTTCTGTATGTCCCTCCTAGTGTCCAAGAAGTGCGTGATACATTAATTAAGCCACTTCTTGGAATGCATAAATATTCTCAAAGTGCATTTCCCTCTCCAGAAAGTTCCATTTTTCATTATTTTTCTTTTACCTTACTGTCTTCATTGAATTGCTCAAGTAAATTCATTTAAATCATTGCCTGAGAGCATCCTTCAACCAAATAGGTCATATTCAATTATCAAACAAATATCTATGATGCAAAAGAACAGAACAGATATTTACGTACCATACAAGTGTGCCCAATATAAAAGACAAAAATAATAGATTGCATATTTTGTTTTTTCAGACTGTAATAATTTTGACATGGTTATCTAGTGACCTCCGGTTATCCAAATCCCGCACAAGCAAAACAATTCTCTATTTCAACTTGAGAATGTCATTGTTTCCATGATAAAGCCAGTCACATTCATGAGATCTACAGTTCCCACTGCCTTGATGCTGGCCCATAAGTTATATTAAAATTTTAAAAAATCCTAAAATTCAAAAACTGATAATATTTAAGCACTTATGGTTCATCATTTATTTCTTAGTGCTTTAATGAAAACCCAGGATAGGACCACAAGTATAAAAATCTAACAGATCTCAATTTCATAAGACAAGACAAATACTGAGAAAATGATGTTCCTAATAACCATTGTAACTAAAGATTTTTTTTTTTTCCCCAATAAATGCACCTATTGCATATGCAAACAAGCTTATTGGATATATGATTTTCACATTTTTGCACTACAAATTGTTGTTTTAATATACATCACATCAAAAATTGGCATACATAGTCTGCGATAGAATATGAAAATTTAGGCATAAACATAGGGTGTTTCTTTATCTTCACGCAGAAGTGTGTGGTAAATGAAAGACAACTACATAAAAATTAGGCAAAAATGACAAATACAACAACAATAATAATGATATAAAGCCATATTTAACGAATATATATGATACAAATATGTCAGAGTCAACATAATCAACCAATAGCAATTCAAAACTAATAATCTACATTCATTAAATAAAAAATAGGCAGTTCCACAAAATGCATGCAACGCTGATATGATCTTGATATGACAATATGTAACTCGATACAGATATATAAATACATAGATAAATATATACATATAGAGAGAGAGAGAGAGAAGGGGGTGTAGCACAAATCAAATTAAGGAAGCGGATTGAGAACAAATCGAGCTTCAACGGAAATTGATGAGAGAGAAAAAGAAACAGATCCATGGAATTGATGGTCGATGACTTTACCTCGAAGAGTAGACGGTGGCTGCGTCTGTTTAGGCAGCTGAGTGCGGAGAGCAGTGAAGAGAGAAGTTATTAGGGTTTGTGCTTTATATTTCCGGGGATGCCGCAATTAGGCATCTAACGAAATGATCGATAACCGGATGGGAATTGATACTGGCCCAATCCGAGCCCGAATAAACAATTGTGCGGGCTTTTGGACCCACTCTGCTTCAAATACATTACCTGTCACACAGATCAGAAATGGGCCTGGCTCAAGACACTGCTCCTCGACAAGTTCGAACACAAAATCAATTAGTGAGTTTGGAGTGATCCTAATAGCATCATGGGCTTTTTTATTTATAATCGTGTCAACCTATTATTCTTCATGTGGGGTTTGTTCTTAGGGCGCACCCCATTATTATTCATGTGGTGTTTGTTTTTAGGGCTCACCTAATATAATTGTGTCAACCTGTTAATAATGTATTATTTATTTTTGGGTTCAACTCGTTTAATTAATTGTGATAAATTAAATTTATAGTATAACATATTTTAATTAATTGTTATTATTTCAATATGCTATAAACAAAACCAAGATGGATATATATGTATAAATATTATTTTTTTCATTGGCAAGTTACTCATTTTTGTCTCTACAAGGACTTGAACGCTTTAACTTCTTTTATTTTTGGGAAGATAAGGAAGTCCTATTGAACTATAACACAAATTATCACCTCATATATAAACTCTCAGTTTCATGACCCAATTTACCTTATATGATCAAGGGAATTGTAAAAAATCATAAACAAATGGTTCTCACATTTCTGTATGTAACTCCTCTAAAATTTTATCCAACTTTTATTTTGAAAGTAGTTTTGAAATTTTATTGGATACATGAGAATAATTGTGAGTAAAATGATGCTTACTATTCAATATGATGTCAACTATAACTGTGTATAAAAATTAAATTAATAAATTAAATCAAACAACAAATAAAAAATATGTTTATGTTTGTAGATCGAGATTAGAATTAGATTTTATATTCACAAGACAATATTTGTGTTGATTTTAGTGTTGAACGGTCTCTACTTAAATTAACAAATCAAATCAAACAACATCTAAAAAATATGTTTGTAAATCAGGTCACATTTATAGTTTATGTTCTCGAGACTACTTGCGTTGGCTCCGTGCTAAACTCATGATTGTCTCGATACGACGATTATCCTTCCTCTAGTAGTAGCAATACTCTTGATAAACATCGAACCAAATAAATGTCATGAGAAAGATCAGAACCACTAAATGTTAATGATATACATATTTAATAATGATATGGTAAAATGATAGATTATTAAAATTAATAATATAATTATTTAATATTCATTTCTATTATTTATATTTAACACAAGGTTTCATAATATTTTATTAGGTAGAACTGATTATTAGTTTAAGAGAAACAAAACTTTTTTTAAAAAATTGATTATATGTTATTGTTGATAATTATTGATTTAAGAGAAAAGTTTTGAGGAAAAATAGCAAGTGTGATAAATTAATTTTTCAGTACGTTTCTTTTTCATTATATTCAAACTTAAAAAAAAAAAAAAAATTAAAAAACCAAAAATTATATATTTCCTTTCTTTCCTAATTTATTTTATTTAAAGAGAAATACTGTTTTTTTTAATGAGCAAATGAAAATAATAAATAGAGACATTTATAGAGAAAGTGGTGCCTATTCGAACAAGAAGCGCGTGCACCTGTTTGCATCACGTTGCACCACTTCGATCCGAACCATTAGTTGCACCTATTTGACTAAAACCCGAATAATTATGCTATTTTGACTTGTGGCTCAAAGAGTAATGCCCGGGTTGACTTTAATCCATTTGGGTTTTAGAATATTTGAACATTTTGGGACAACCTAAAGCCTATATTTATTTTATTTTTATATTTATTATATTTTTATCTGATTTATCATTTCTGATAAACTTGAATGCCTCGATAGATCGGTGGGTTATTATCATCTACTAATTTAACTTTTAACTCTTCTTATCTGGTAAAAATAAAATAAAAATCATTTTTTATAAACAATTTTAAAACAAGTAAATCTGTTATATTTATTGGCGAGGGTTCTAAGTAAATCTGTTATATTTATTAGCGAGGGTTCTAAGTCCTCGTAGAGGTTAAAACGCATTATAACTTTAAATTTGATCCAATGTGTGCTTAATCAAGGATGTTGAAGATATAAAAATTACGTATGGTATAAATAGGTAAGGTGACATTATTACTCCAAAAATGGGTGGAAAAAAACATAATGAAGACAAGTATGGTAAAATATGCAATCGGGGTTTAATGGTATCGGCGACTTCGAAATCCGATGCGAACCAGCTGATTCGGCTTACTCCTCATCTATTTTTGTAAAATAATACAATATGGTGTAATACTAAAAAAATTAAATAATAATACCTCATTCTGTTTCCTTTTATCAAATAATGAAATGTTTTAATATTATTATTTTGTAAATTATTTCATAATGACTAATACTTTTATTTATATTTGTTCCTATTATTTAATGTTAAATTTGTCATTTCATTGCCCAGTTAACCGGTCGGACACGAATAATGAGTTAATGTGATCACTTTTTAAAGTGTAAAGAATTTATTGAAATAAATTGAGAATTTATGATAAAAATTTGAAAATAGTGAGAATTTTTTAAAATTATCTCATAAAAGAAAAAAATAATAATAATAATAAAGAGTGATATGATATTTAATTTTTGTGTCCTTATATCACTTGATTACCTAGAGAGTAGCATAGTCTAAAAGTACAGTATATTTTTGGTGGCACAAGATAATGCACACATCCACCATGTCATATGGACTTGAATTTTAAACCTTTAACTCCAAGAGCATCTCCAAAATTATATTTTTTTTATGGTAAAGTTATATTTTAAGAAGAGTTACAGTGCTAACATGTTATATTTTAGCAATTATGTTTTAATTAGTACATTTCATTCAAAATACTATATTTTAGTAATTATGCTCTAATTGTGCTGACATTTTGACCATTACTTTTCTTATTTTAATCAATGCATTATTCTTACTTTTTCATGTGACTTTCCAGTCCATATCTGCACAAAAATCCAAAAAAAGGCTTAGAGCATCTCCGATCGTTGTACATATATATATATATATTTAAAAATTTGATGTGTCGTAGTAGATTTACAAAAAAAAAAAAAAAAAAATTGAATTATTTATTTTTAGTTTCAACTTTTGTTTTATACCTTTTGTGTAAAAATATATCACTTAATAACAATTAACCAGTGTCGTGCCTGGATCCGACATAATTTTTATAAACTTTCTTAATATAGGGTTGATTAGTTAATGAAATGAGAAAGAGGGAGGAGAAAGGATATACGATGATGTAGTTGTGTAAAAAGGTTATATAAAATACAAAACAATTTTATACATTTGTGTATCTTAACTAGGAGTGGCAATTCGTATTCGTGTTATGTCGATTTAAGGATATTATACTAAATAGGTAAACCTAAACCCAACCCATTTAATAATCGTGTTAAGAATCCTCAATGTTAACCAGACCCGTTTATTAAACAGGTAACGTATTAATACGTTTAATGACCTGTTTATCAAAATAGACATTTAATATTTAATTAAATACTAAATAATAGAAAAAAATTGTCATAATTAACCCAAATATTCAAAATAAAAAGAAAAATCAGAAGGCATGGATAAAGATTATGTTGAAATGACTTAACCATCCATAGTAATTGGGTTTAAACATGTAATATATTACATACGTTATATTCACGATTCTTACATGTTGAATTAAATGGGTTATAAGCAGATTACACGGGTTTAACTCTTCAACCCTAACCCGACACGATTAAGTAAACGGGTTAATCGTGTCAACTCGTTATGACCCAAACTCGTTTATGCCAAACCTGCACCCTTTTAACTCGTGTCATGTCATGTTCTCGTGTCGTGTCGTAATTTATCATCCCTAATCTTAACAGACTGCTGGAGATTTAAAAAAAATATAAAAAATTACACATTATACGTGGCAGTGTATATTATACACAAAAGAGTGTTTTAACAGAATCTCAAGTTCTCAACTTATAACAACCTGCTATATATGAGAAAAGTTTTGAGAATCTCATATTTTGAGAGACTGCATAACATACTATTGGAGTGTATTAGAAAACAAAATCTCCAATATGTTGAGTTTGAGAGGACATTTGAGAAAGCGTTGGAGATCAACACTAAGATAATTTTGAGTTAAGGTTTGTTTGGTTCAATTTTTTAAAATTATTATTTCTCCTTTAGATAATTGAAAGTACAAAATTTGGTTTGGTTGACATTTTTTTTATTAAAAAAGAGTCACTTAAAATATATATTTGTTTTTAAAATAGATTATTTATATAGTTATCAGAAATAAGCTTTTTCACAATTCTTTAAAACTATTTATAGAAAACAAATCAAAGCGAAACAAACATTAATTTTTTTTCCTTTCAATTCCGTGATCTTATTTGGGAAAACTACACATGGGTAAAGTTAGGAGTCCTAAAATAACAAAATGGTATATTTTAAAAGTCTATTTTTTAGTTTGATTAATTTTTAAAAAATAATTACAAATGTATCAAAAATTATTGTTAAAGTCCCAAATACCATCCTTTTAATCTAACATGTTTTTTTGTTGTTGAGACTTGAGAGAGATGCCTCTATATGTTCATCTTGTTTCCTTCTTTAATAAAATTGATTAATTATCAATATATATATATCAAATAAAGTTTTCCTAAATTATTTTTTCAAATTAATTTAGTATATTGTAATTAGACCAAATTCACACAATTATAGAATAAAATAAAATAAATAAAAAAATAAATGTATTAATATAAACCCATATTATTTCGCTAAGAACACAAGGAGCATCACACGATACCAACAAAATAATGTAGCAAGTACTAATCTTTCATTCTCAAGACAATGGTCGTGTTTACCATAAAGCCAAGCAAAAAACTGAAAGAAATCTTGCATGCACCAAGTCATATCGGTCTTAAACCTTATTAAGATTTTATGGTTTCAAAGAGTCTTTTGTGTCTTTAATCGGAATTTTGCAGCATAATATTTGTATGTTTATTGGTAGATTTCTATTGGTAGATTTCTATTGGTACGTTTGTTTCATTTTTTTATTTTTATTTATTTTTTATTTTTTATTTTTAAATTATATAATCTTGTGAATTTGATTCCACTACAAATTATACATGAAATCAATTTGAAAAGATAATTCGGAAAAACTTTCATTGATATATATATACACATAATAAATAAGCAATTTCATTAAAGAAATAAACAAGTAGCACTTAGATAGGCATACATCTCAACAACAAAAAAGCAAGCCACATTATAAAGAGGATATTTGGTATTTTAACAATAATTTTTGATGCATTTGTAATTATTTGGTATAAATCAATCAAATAAAAAATTAAACTTATAAAATAGACTATTTTGTTATTTAGGACTCATAACTCTACCTATGTGTATTTTTTTCATCTTATTTTAATAATTTCATAGCAGAAGAATTTCGAAGTGTGTTAAATAATAACATTATCCTTTTATTTGTAAGAAATAAGTGGAGTGCTGGTGCAATTGTGAGTAACCGATATGAATATTATTATGTTAGAATAACACTATTATGCTCTGTTTAGTAGGGGAAAAAAAAAAATTTTGAATAGAAAGGAGAAAAGAAGGGATGAATGAGCCATCTAGGAAGATATTGTGTATTTTCTTCTTTTTTGTTTGGTTGGATAGAAGAAAAGATAAAACTTGGATAGAAGATAAGATAATATGCTCATAATTTACTTTCATTAAGAGATACGGAAAGATAAATTTTTAATTATTTTTACTATTATATTCAATAATATTTATAATATTATAATTTAGAGAGGATAGTATTGTAATTTAAAATTTGTATAATTTATGATATATTTAATTTAAAATTTCCATAATAGTCCTGTTGTCTTCCTTCTGCCCATTTTTGGGCCGATAAAAATTTGTAAAAAATGTCTTTTCTCTTCTTTTCTTTTTTTTTCTAAAATTTAAAATTTATTTATTTATATCATCTCTACTGGAGAAGCTCGTTAATTTCTTCCTATTTTTTCTCCACTCCCTTTCCTTCCTTCCTATTGAACATAATGATAGGAAAAAATATAAATCTATCCTACCCTCGATAAGATTGATTAGATTTCATTATCAAGGATAATGAAATATGAAGTGGTTCAACAGGTAAGAATAATCCTATTATAACTGGAGGAGGTCAAAAAGATTAAATCATATCCCCGACAAATCTGTCAACAAATCTCTTATGATTTCGCATAAGTAGAAGATAAGATCAACCATCGACATCGGCGGAACGATTTTGATTCCAATCGACAGGCCATTAAAGAAGGTACGACGTAAAAACTATTATTAATCCCTGCCTTCTTTTTTTATTTATTTATTTTTTTTTTCATACCCCTGTGAACAGTACTCTTCATTTGATAAGGGAATAAATCATATGAGTTTCACTCCTTAATAAGGGAATTGAATTTTACAAGTTTTACTCAGCTCATCCCTTTAGTAAGGGAATTGAACTTTACGAGTTTTACTCAACTCACCTCTTTAATAAAATATTTTTATTTATTATCCCTTATTTTAAGGGGATATTAATTACGGGATTCATCCAACCCGGGTCCTTGTAGTACAGGACATTCATTTATTATCCCTTATATTACGGGGATATGGATTACGGGATTCATTCAACCCGGATCCTGATAATACAGGATACTTATCCCTTATAGTCCGGGGATATGGATGACGGGATTTATTCAGCCCAGGTCCTTGTAATACAGGACACTCATTTACTATTCCCTTATAGTATGGGGATACGGATTACGGGATTCACTCAGCCCGGGTCCTTGTAATATAGGACACTCATTTACTATCCCTAATAGTACGGGGATACGGATTACCGAATTCACTCAGTCCGGGTCCTTGTAATACAGGACACTCATTACTATCCCTTATAGTACGGGGATACTGCACGTATAAACTAAAAGGAATTTTATTAAAGACCATCATTGCCTTAAGGCTTATTAAAAACAAAATAACACGTGATGGAGCTACCCTCCATTTAAAATGATTAACTAAGATGCTCCCAGTCTTTATTGTGAATGACTTGATAAGGCTAATTCCAGCCGTGAGACAATTTCTAGTCGGTATACTCATCTGAGTCATTCTCATGATATGTGCTGTCGCTCTGGCTGAAGAACGATTTCTTATATTTGGTATTATTTTCATCCCTGGCGAGAGGGGCTGGCCTCTTCTTGTCCTCTCCTTCATTCCGTGCACTCATGGTGTCTTCAACATTGATGTGTTTTTGCGCTTTGACCAGCAACTTTATCATGTTGGTGGGAGGTTATTTTGATAAGGAGAACAAGAATCTGGAGGTTTGGAGTCCTCATATGAAAACGGTCAAAGCTACCTTGTCGTCCACCTCTTCTACCTGCAACATCTCTGCGTTGAATCGGGTGATGTATTCCCGAATTAACTCTTCCTTTTGTTGCTCCACGGTAAACAGGTAGGTAGCCGGCCTCCTATGCCTCTGACCTGCAATGAAGTGGCTCACAAACTGCTTACTCGATTCTTCGAAGGTGTTGATGGTTCCTGGCTTCAACTTGTTGAACCAAACTCTCGCTGATCCCTTAAGTGTAGTGGGAAAAGCTCGGCACATGATTTCATCTGGCACAACGTGTAAATGCATAAGAGCTTGAAAAGTTTCCAGGTGATCGAGGGGATCTTTGGTCCCATCGAAGCTTTCGAACGAGGGCATCCTGAACTTGCTAAGTAATGGACATTTCATAACGGCGGGGCTGAAAGGAAGGTTGGTCCTTTGTATCAGGTCATCTGCGGCGACAGGACCTTTCCCTTTCATAGCCTGCATTACATCCTCCATTTTCCCGTTGAGATCCTTGATCTGCAAGTCGAGATGGGTAACTTTTTTTGTCTTTTCCTTAAGACAGAAGGTTATGCTTTCAGGAGGTCGGGAACTCCATGGGATAGATGGGTGAACCACCTCTCTATGTCGGGTTCCCACCTGGCTTTGTTCCACTTCAGTCTCGTTTTGGGGGGATGATTATCCTTCTCTTCAAGATTCCCATTACCTCCGTTTAGACTTGAGAGATTTTGTCCTGGAAAGTTTTGTTAAACCGGTGGAACAAGGTGTTGCAAGAGCGTTGCATTTTGCTGGATCAATTGGTTCATACCCTGACTCAGAGTTTGAATCTGCAGTTCTAATGCTGCAAGCCGTGCCTGGTCGTTTGGGACGTCCAGGTTTTCACCCGACTCTACCCTTTGACCAGATCCCTGCGACGGTGTTCCTTCAGTAACCATATCGGATTGCAAACGTATATACCCAACGAGTAATTAATTGATTCAAGGGAATCGTCGTTCCCACAGATGGCGCCAACTGTTGAGGCTGAAATTCGCGCAGTCCGATACGATACCGTTTTCCTGCAAGGAAGAGACTAATTTGATCGTCGGAGAGCTCTTGGCAGGCACCACACCGGTGTCGTCAAGGTTCATCGATCTTCTCCTCTCTTCCTTGCAGGAAAACGGTATCGTATCGGACTGCGTGAATTTCAGCCTCAACACATAACATTAAAGTTTATTTTGTAAACCATTTTTTAAGAACAATGGTATTCTAATTAATAATTCAAAAATCTACCCCAATAGTTAAAGGGCTATAATCTTAAACATATTTAAGTAATAAATATAAGTTTTACTTATAGACTCAAATATTAATTTTTAGATTGTGTAATTAGATTAGTAGCATATGGGAAACACTCATTCATAGTACATATTTGTAATTTAATAGAGAAATTATTAAATAATTATGAAGCATTTGACATATTATTAATAAATTATTGTAAATATATTTTTTCAATGGACTAATACCATATACGTAGTAGTAATAATTTCTCAATTTAACCAGTTTAAACTAAGAAAAAAAAAAAAAAAAAAAAAATAGCTTAAAAACTCGATCCGCATCTCATTGAAACTTTGAAAGTATCTTTTCTCATTTTCATAATTTTTTTTGGGCGAAAATGAAACAGTGATCTGCCCGCCTTAAACAAGGCGCCAATCCAAAATCCGCCTAAACACGGCACAGAGTTTAATAGCATCTCAACCGCTGAATCACTCAATTACCAAAAGAAAAATCCAACGTCCAAACGCTTGCCAACTCATCAATCCGCGTGAAAACTCACTAACCAATAAGATTTTGCCAGTCCCTTTATATAAACTTCGTCCTAACCTACCACTCATTTCAAACTACTCCGTATTTCTACAATAGCCCCTTATCAAATTCCCAATTCTCTCACTTTCTCTCTCTAGACACCCTTCGATGGCACCCAAGGCAGAGAAGAAGCCCGCAGAGAAGAAGCCTGCGGAAGAGAAGAAGACCGTCGCCGAGAAGGCTCCGGCGGAGAAGAAGCCCAAGGCCGGGAAGAAGCTCCCCAAGGAAGGTGGCGCCGCCGCCGGAGACAAGAAGAAAAAGAGGACGAAGAAGAGCGTGGAGACCTACAAGATCTACATCTTCAAGGTCCTGAAGCAGGTCCACCCTGATATCGGTATCTCTAGCAAGGCTATGGGGATCATGAACAGCTTCATCAACGACATCTTCGAGAAGCTCGCACAGGAGTCCTCCAGGCTCGCTCGTTACAACAAGAAGCCCACCATCACCTCTCGGGAGATCCAGACCGCCGTCAGGCTTGTTCTTCCCGGTGAATTGGCCAAGCACGCCGTGTCTGAGGGGACAAAGGCGGTGACCAAGTTTACCAGCTCCTGAAGGTGACCAATTTGTCCTTCAATTGGTTGTGTCTCTGCTTATCTAGGGTTAGGGTTTTAGAATCAGTTTACTATTAGGTTGTTTTTTAATTTTTCCTTTTGGATTTCAGTGTTGCTGTGAATTTGGATCAGCTTGATCCATTTGTTATTGAAGACGTGAATGTAATAGTTTGAAATCTCTCAAGTTTCGTTTGAGTTCATCAATTGACCACCTATAAATAATTATAAATCATTTTCATTTTGTTTTGTGATTTGACTTTTTATTTTTGTTGTTATCGCAACAACAACATTTGATTTCAATTAGTGAAATTGCATTTCGGACTTTATATTTGTTCTCAGAGTTGTTAAATTGGATGTTTTAGCGCTTAGGAAAAACAAAAAGGGTGATATAAGTTTTATTAAAAATACAATTACACACACTCTCAAACCCATCTCAACTAAGAATTACAACCCAACCATCTCTATAGATATACATGTACAGTTTCTGATGGCATGATAACCAAATCCAGATTGGACGGTCTTGAATGTCAATCTCGGATGACCAAGAAAATGAATCCAGTATCCACATTCCTTCTTTTGTCTCTTTAATGCTCTCCTTTGTATTCAATCTATCTTGTATAGTTAGTTTAGAGCTCTGTTAATGTTTTGTGAAGTTAACTGCACTGTTAAAAATCTTGTTGCTTTGGAACTATACTATTGTTTGTGTTTGATTGATTCAAGTTGCAAGGATGGGGAGGTTCTTTCTTGTTCAATACGATCTGTCTCCAGAATTTGACCTCCTCCTGTGTTATTTTTGTGAAGCTCACATTGCTCGCCTGGTAAACACACACACTCTCTCTCTCTCTCCATTGCAGCTAAATATGTACGTACTACTGTAAAGTAAATTATGCCCACGACGACATGTTAATTTTCTGAAAATTGAAACTAGAACAATTCTAAACATCTATGACTTCTTGAATTTCCTTTGCTGTTGAATTTATTTTCATTCTCGAGGGTTTCTTGATGCATATACAGTGTACCTATTATGGAAGGAGTTCATGGTTTGTCATAATCTTTTAAAGCATTTTGTGTGTGGACTATGTGAATATAATTTTGAGCAAAGTTATTTCTCCATGTCCTTCAAGAAGGTGCTAAACTTCAAAAAACATGAGTATTTTTAGATGTATTGTAGGTCAAATTAGATTACAAGAAAAATGTAAAAACACGAGTTCTCTCTCAGCGTGAACAAATAGTATATTTGAATATTTAATTCTAGTACCAGAATAATGTAATTGTAATATTTATAATACTGTGTATTGGCTCACTCCATCCATATAGGATCAAGACAAGAATGGTGATATAGGATCAAGACAAGAATGGTGACGGTGACGGTGACATTACTGTATATGAAAGCATGTACTATATTTTATTTTAACTTTTGAGTAAACATGTTTTCTAAAAGTTCCTATTAAACTGGGAAAATGATTTACTTTTAGATTAACTTTCAAATTGGATCATATTACAGGGGAAAATAAAAAGGCTATGCTTGTATTTACCTGAAAACAAAGAATTGTTATATTATATACAGCTTGCTGCTTCTATTACTTTTGCAATGATGTTCTATTAATTAAAATTTCAGTCACTTAAATATATTCACGCACACACATTTTATAAAAGCAATGCTGTCTATCATTAAATTGTAATTAAGAGAGGAGGATAGATCACCGGTGGTGGGTGATGAAACTTTTTGGTACATATTCAGACGAATCATAATTCAAGAATCCAATTAGTTGAGGAAAGTTGTACAAAATTGTTATCAGAATGGAAAATTTATTAAATGGTTCTGAAACATTGATGTAAAGAAATTGAAGAACGAGTCAAATACAAGACTATAGAGAAATCTTGGTTAAATCAGCAAGATTCAGTGGTTGAGATGGTTAATAAATGAAACAATTGAAATATACAAACACGCGTCGATACATTGTCCACAATAGACATAAGAGAAACAAATGAAATAAACAGAGTCTATACATCATCCTTGGCCTCTCTAAAAGTGGCTTTCTAGCTCTACATGTATGATCAAAAAGGTGTAGCTTTGCAGATAGGGCAAACATTTTTTTCAAGGAGCCACGACTTTATGCAGTCTGCATGATATTCATGTCCGCATCTAAGTCTTCCAATTGTCTCATTCTTTTCATACTCCGCCTGCAAAATTATACGCCATTTTAGTTATTACAACATCAACAGACAAAGAGATGTATGCCTTAAATTAAAACCAAACACAAATGTGACAGAATTGATTGAATTGGTTTGTATGAGACTGAAGATATATGCATATATATATATAGTTTTACGTACTTGGCATATGACACAAATTTCAGGTTCTTCGTCTTGATTCGCAGATGAAACATGGGTTCTCGTGTTAAGCTGATTTACTATGGTTTTCTCTGACAACCCAGTGCTAACCCGGCCCATTCGTTCCTGAAGCTCTAGTGCATCCTGCAAAGTTGCACACGTGTCCTTTTAGTTTTGAAATACATATCTTATTTATGTATAAAATTAAATTAAGAACACATTCAATTTTAACTTGGTATTGTAGATACCTCGTAAGACATATTATCAGGGAAATTATCTGAATTGGGGGTTGCCGGAATGTGAGGCCCGCTTCCACTATAAAGGGAGTAATCTGAAGAATCATCCAGCACGAGCACATCCTACAAACAATATTTTCATGGAATATATTAATTAGTATCCTTAATGTTAGATGGTTAAATAAATATATAAGTAGTGTAATATTTTATATTCAATATGGAAATTAAGGAACTAGATAAAAGTAGTAGAGGAAGAAGATAAATTAACATACATCTTCTGGTAGATAATCTCCGAAAAGGTGTCTCTGGTGTGGCGCTAATTGATGAATGGGTATGAGGCTGTTACTCGAATTCATGGTATAGACCGGAGCCAGAGAAGGACGACCACCTCTTCCTCTGGTTTCAATGTCACGACGATGATGATGATGCTGATGATGATACAAGCTGGGGCGGTTTTCTCTTCTTATTGCTTGCACAGGATGAGGTGAGTGTTGCTGATGACTACTTGTGACCACCATGTGATCATCGATAAATGACATCCGATATTGTTGCCTGCTTTCAATCACATATCAAGATATCCATCGCATCAGAAAAATAATATATATATATATATATATATATATGAACAAGAAACAGAGATAAGTACGTATACAATAAACAACACACAAAAAGTATGTAACTACAAAAGAAAGAAAGAAAGAAATTTATTCAGAAGAAGAAAAATTAAAATAACTTAACAAAATATATAAAACAGATATATATAAATCCACAAGCTACATTAGAATTAGGCCACTACTGTATCAGAATTTTAAATAAGTCCACCCCGAAAGTTAATATATGCACTCATATACAAATTAATATATAATTAAAACATAAGAGAATTGTTACCTTTCCATCCTTTTCCTCTCTGCAAGCCACTGAACGGAAAAATCCAATAGAGTAGAATGAGAAGTAGTGTGTTAGAACTGAAAATCTAAGGGAGTAGAATGAGAAGTATTGTGTTGATGGAAAGGACTATTTATAGATATAGAGATATATATATATTACTTGGTCCTAACACAAAAGGAAAGTTAAGTGAGGATTGTATAATTTCTCTGGACACAAGTTATAGGTAGTCAAACTAGGTCAATCAGAATCTAATTAGATATTGCCACCTAGTAGTTACATTCCGAGCGGTACAAGGATTTGGTTTCCCCGGAATTCTTATTTTTTTTGTTTTTCGGGAAAGTTTCCCCGGAATTCTTCCTAGCGTCTACATATGAAGTCGCAGCTTGAAATGAATAAAACATTTCTCAAAGTGTATTTCCCTCTCCAGAAAGGTCCCTTTTTTTTTTTCATTAATTTTCTTCTTCCTTTCTGTCTACATTGCAAATTCATTTTAAATCATTGCCCTAGAGCTATCCTTCTATTACATACTATATTGTATTCAAATATCTATGATGTGACCAAATATATATATATATATATATATAAACACTTAAACTTGTACTTCTATTATTTTGTCGACAGTAAGTTCTGTTGCATAGTAAATTCTACTAGTATTTTATTTTATTTTATTTTCTTTTTTTTACCCATAACATGTATACAATTCTATAATAATAATATAAAGGGTTAAATGCTCCAAAATGAGGTACGAGTTTATTGCTATGACACTGCTTCAAGATTGATTTAATTTGCCCTCACACCCTAGATAAAATTAAATACCTAAATTACCCGCCGTCTTTACTTTCTTTCTTAACCCACCCTTGATATATATATAGCTAATTCCATAAAACCACCACTATTTTTAAATTTTGATCATAAACTTCCAACTTGTTTCAGAAAACCCTGATACTTTAAAAAGTGATCCGTATTCGATCTGTTAACTAGATTATGAAATGCCAAATTTGACCTTACTATTTAATATTAAATTAAAAATATAATAATTATTTTTAAAGTTACTAAAATACTCCCGTGTCTTCTTCCTCCTCCCCCTCTAAAACTTTTACCCCCTCTCTCTAAACCAAAACCACCACTACTCTCTTCAGCTCTTAATCTTTGTTGTAATATATATATATATATATATATATATATATATATATATTGCAATTATATAGAGTAATTTTAGTATCAATATAATGGGTTAATTTTAGTATAATTGTAATATATATATATATTTCATATCCACAAATCAACCTATATTTATATATGGTGGTTTATTTAATTTATTTTTTTGCGATTTGGTTTGATTTTTAGTTTTAAAAATATAAAATTATTTATAAATAACTTTATTTTAATTTAAATTTCTATAAAATCAAATGGTTTATAGTCATATGTTTTTTATAAATAATAGAATAATAAAATTAATCTCTAAATTACTAGTATATATTATAAGTTTATAACATTTAATAAAACATTTTTGGACGGACAATGTGTATAGTGGGATGAATTTGTTACCATCAGTGAATAAGAGAGCATTTCGGTGGCTATGGGAGCTTCAGCAGTAAGTAATTGAGGAGAGAGAAAAAGAAAAACAGATCCCAACTCAACACTCTCACTCTCTCTCCCTAGAAAATCACCGATGGCACCCAACGCAGAGAGTAAGCCTGCGCCGCCGCCGGAGACGAGAAAAAGAAGAAGAGGTCGGAGAAGAGCATGGAGACCTAAAAGATCTGAGGGGACAAAGGCGATGACCAAGTTTATCAGCTCTTGAAGGTGATCAATTTGTTCATCAATTGCTTGTATCTGTGCGTACCTAGGGTTAGGGTTTTAGAGTTAGTTTATTTGTTTGTATTGTTCCATTTGTGTAGCTGATGGTTTAAGTAGGATTGAGTTGATCAATTGACCGCCTATAAATAATATTTCAATACTGGAATATATTTTTCTGAAGTTATTGTTTGCTAAACAACCAGGAATACTTGAATTTAGATAATAATTTGTCAAAAAAAAAAAAACTTAGATAATAATAATTGTGCTTTTGATCTGTGATTTGACTTTTTGTTTTTTTTACATTTAGGCACGTCAGTGTTGCAAATTAGTTTTAAATGTTAATTAAATGGGTAACATCTTTAGTTTTACAAAATTCAATTTCTCTTAAAATATATTATACAAACCGAATAAAATTGGGTCTTCCTTATTCTTCCTATATATACAAAAAGGTAATATAATTTTTAATCGAAATACAGTTGCAGTACTCTCTCTAACCCATTTCAGACTTCAGAATTGCAACCCTTCTATCTCTATATATACCTGTACAGTTGGCTTCACCTTCTCTCTCTCTCTCTCTCTCTCTCTACATGGCATGGTAACCAAACCCAGTTCGGACCTTCTTGAAGTTCAATCTTTGCTTCCTAAGAATCTGAATCCATCGTCCAAATTCCTTCCTTTGTCCCTTTAATGGTCTGTTTTTGTATTCAAAAAAATCTATCTTGGATTGCTAGTTTAGAGCTCTGTTCTTGTTTGTGAAGTTTTTTGGTCTCTCAAAATTCTTGGTGATTCGGAGCTCCATTAATGTTTGTGTTTGATTAATCCAATTAGGTTGCAACCATGAAAAGGCACGCACTTACTCTTACTGAATTTGATCAACACTTGCAGTTCTCTTTCTGTCGTTCTTGTGAAGCCCACATTGCCTTACAATCAGATTTTGCAGGCGCTGTAAGCACGCACGCACTCTCTCTCTCTCTCTCTCTCTCTCTCTCTCTCTCTTCTTGTTGAATTTTTGGTTGCTGCTCATCATGCAACCACATGTTTATATGTTTGTAACTATATCAATTCTAAATTTCTAGTCTTCTATGATTTGCTTTGCTTGAATACCCTTTTCTGCTGAATTTTTTTTTTCTTTTTCTCTCTCTCTCCCTCTTCTTGTTGAATTTTTGGTTGCTGCGCATCGTGCAACCACATGTTTATATGTTTGTAACTATATCAATTCTAAATTTCTAGTCTTCTATGGTTGCTTGAATACCCTTTTATGCTGATTTTTTTTTTTTTTTCATTCTCGAGGATTTCTTGATATGTATATAGAGTGCACCTATTGTGGAAGGAGTTCATGACCATTCATGATCTTTTGAAGCATTTTATGTGTATGTGCTGTGTGAATGTTGTATTTCTTTTGAAGCATTTTAAGTATTTCTTTTTGTATTTCTTGATATGTATTTCTCAAAATACCTCAAAAATATTAAACTAGTTAGACTAACTATGGATATGGTATCCTTGTATTTTCCTTGAAAACAAATAATTGTTTGCATATATAGCTTATACAACTTTTGCAATGATGTCCTGTTAATTAAGATTGCAGTAATTTTTTTATAAATATTATTATTATTATATTTTTATAGAAAAGAAGCAATTGCTGTAGTAGAAGTGATTAAGCAGTCTAATTTGCACATGCTTTACATATATAATGTATTTCATGCAAAAAATCCTCAATGAAATTCCAACTTAAAACCCCGTTCTTGTGGATTGTCTATCATTAAATTGTGATCAAGGGACGAGCATAGATCACCAGTGGTGGATGATGAAATTTTTTTTGGTACATATTCATTAGATGAGGATGATTGTTTTAAAAAGGTTGACACATTGTATTTTCTGTATAATACTACATTTGGTTCTAAATACTTATTGGACCTTTAGTTTAATCAGTTAATGTTTCGGCAAATGCCAAAATTTGGGTAATTTTGTGCTATACTTGTACACACAAGTTGGTGGAATGCACAGGGAAAACTAATGTGATAGTGCAGTAATTGGATTTTGCATAAGCAAGCAATCAACCAGTCTTTTTAAATCATTTACCATGCTTGTTGTTTATCCTTCAGCTTTTGTAGAAAATGCCAATAAAAAAAGAACTCTCTGATCTCACTATTCATTTCCATTTATTTTTCAGGACACCACATACAGTAAAGCCATTTTCCTAGACGCGTAAGAATCATCGTTCTTAACTTTTTTTAAATAAAAAAAAGTAATAATCTGTTCATCATCTTCCTTGTATTATGTCTTAAACATTTAGCATCTGTGGCAACTTACGTGTATGTATACAGTGTCAATGTTGTAATCGATGGCCCAAACCGTCATCGTACGGAAGGTACTAACAAAGTAGCCGATGTTCACTGTACTAGATGCAATACCCTTCTGGGCTCACAATATGTAAGATACTCCCAGAAAAGAGTTTTATCTATTATAATTTTGACTCTGTATAATTCTTCTAATTGTGTGGTATTGAAGTTGGAAACACCGAAGGACGTGTCAGAGCAGGAAGATTTGGACCGTTTTTGTGAGTATTGGAAATCTATGTACCAGTATATATATATATATATCTACAGTGCAATTCAGAGTATTGATCTTCTAATGGATGGTTGTTTCAAAATTTGTGAGCAGCAACGAGCTCCGTTTCTGGAATGGAAGCGCTCCTCTGGCTTGGCAATAATTCAACCAGTTTCAAATACACGGATTGGTCACTGCACAGAGTGACAGGATATCAATTTGAAGGGCTTCATTGAAATATATTTGTCCAATTTTTTTTTCTTCAAGTTAGAAGTGAAAAATTCTTCTTGTTAATTTGGGATATGCAAGTGTTTTTAGTTGAGGAATTCAAATCAGAAGGAACATAATTTGAATATGCATTTTGAAGCCGCTATGATAAGAATCCTGTAATCTGCTTATGGTGTAATATTACTTGTATATCTTAGTTGCTTTAAAATTTTCTTATTACAAGTTTTTGTTTTTTTTCTTCCCTGTGTTGTCTTGTTTTCTACTCTATTAATCTTCTTTATTGGAGAAAGAGTTGGATTCAATTTAGGTTTTGATTGAGAATAGTGTTAAGGTGTGATCGGATGCTTGAAAATGGAATTGGATGATTGAAATTGGAATTGGTGAAATTCGAAAAAAATATTTTAGTATTTTAGTCCAAAGTAGATTATATAGAATTTGTAAGCCGATGTTTCTTATTCCATTGAAGGACATTTGTGGTTCTAACAACTAAAATCTGGAAATTAATATTCTTACATCATTTCTTATTTATTTTTGTCAAGTTGTTAAAATAGTTTTCTCATAAGCCACATAAAGCAAGAGCAGGAGCGAGAGCGAATTTGAGAGCGTGAGCGCGGCAAAATGAAGTAATAAATAGTGAGAATTTGAGCAAGAGCGCATGTGGAGCGTAAGAGCGGGAGCGCGCTGAGCGTGAGAACGATACTTGTTGAAAAAGATTGTGTAACTAACGTTTTTCCTCATGTGTAAGATAAATTTTACTAATATGCTTTTCGAACCAATAGATAAACTCAAATTTGAATGTCAACCTTTTAATTAGGAATAATGATAGGGAGACCGGTGAATTAACCCGAATAAGTATGAATCTGACATGTTTTTGTTCACCCTATCTACTTAAACAGTTTTCAAAAATAATTGTTTAACACGTGATAAGAATGACCAACCAACCACGTCAAATTCAATACTAATTTGGTGATTCATTTTCGATTGCCCTATTATTACTCTTTAATTAGTGGCTAAACAGTGCTCTTATAATTCAAAATTAAATGGGTAACATGTTTACTGTGATAAAATTCAATTTCTGGGTTCAAGTGTACAAGAATTTAAAGCACCTTTGGGGATAGGTATATTCTAACATCATATCGTTCCTCACCAACCAGGAACTATGGGAATGGGGACTCTCAGTATAAGAGAAATTAATTAAAGTTTTATAATAATACTTTAATTATATATACATATATAGAAATAAATATTCAAATTTATATATAGCAGTATCAATGTAGGTGTCCTACTATTTTTTTAGAATTGGTTATGCTAGTATATTCATATCATGTTCGATATTACTTAGATTGACACCAAATAAACTTATCATGTTATTCTATTCATATTATTATTGTGACACCAAGTAAACTTATCATGTTATTATATTGGGTTAAGTGCAAAAAAAACACTCTCATATATAGGGTTTGTGCAGAACTAATATCTATTTTTTTAAAATGTGAATATTAGTCCATAAATTTCAAAAAAGATGCAAATAAGCCCTTTTGAGTCTTTGACCACCTTTTTTACAAAAGTAAAACTAAAAATCCTATTTTACCTTATAGTTCTATTATATGTTATAAGTAATTATATATTTATAGATTATTATTTTATAATAATAATAATTATATTTATATACATTATATTTTCAGATAATATTTAAATAAATAATACTATAATATATGTTATAGTTAAACCACATATTTTTTGGACTACAATTTTATCTTTCCTTTCTCTTTCTCATTTTATTAATGAATTAATCATATATAAAGTATGTTTGTAAAAGTTACGTGGAATTTGGTGATGTGATGAGAAATACTTTGTGATCTTAAAAAGTAGTATTGTTGTTATATTTCTTAGGAAAAAGGCTAAATTCAATTATCCTCTTCATCAAATATAACAACAACACTGTTTCTTAAGGTCACAAAGTATTTCTTATCACGTCACCAAATTCAATTGTATGGTCTCTTATTAATATTAGTAGTTATATTGCTCATACTTATGGCTATTTTATTTATATAGACTTGATTTGGAAAGTCTTTATATTGGCTATTTTCAATTGATAACGTGAGGATAAAGAAATATCATTTGTTTTATATCTTTGAACACAAGTGTCAGAACATTCAACAAGAGAATTTGTGTTAAACACAACTCCTCAAAATTTAATTAAGCTAGTTTAGGAATAGAGAAATCTTAAAATTGAAATAGAAAGAAACTTTGTTTAAACTTTAAATGAAATTTTCTCCAATTTCTATTCCAATATATCAATTTCATATTCCAAAATGCAACATTATTGTATATTTGTTGATAAATTTACTTATACTAGAAAAGTGTATTTATTTAAATTTTAATATGTGCACATGCAAAAAAGACCACTTACTATTTAACATTGACAGCAAGAAAATGTTTCTTAGGAAAAAGGCTCAAATATCGTACTGTTTTTGCAAAATTGAGAGACGCGGGTATTATTTTTCTTTCAAAGAAACATCTAAAGAAAAAAAAATAAAATAAAAAATTAGTAATATAATTTGGTATTATTTTTCTTTCAAATGTTTCTATTTTTATTTTGAAAATTATTTTTTATTGCTATAGTAAGTGGTAATAGTAAATTTAAATATAGAAACTAAAAATATGGTAAGAGTGGTTTGTGTTAAAAGGAAATGATATAGGTGGGTTTAAAAAATGACCATTAGATCTATATAGAAAGAGTGGATTAATTTTCTTACTTCACGAAGAGCAACAGCTCAGGACTTTCTCTCTCTCTCTCTCTATATATATATATATATTCAATATATATAAATGATATATGTTCATTCAACTCTTAGAATCTCACCCCATTAGCCATCACCAAGATACCACCACCCCACCCCTGGTTGCCGTCGATCACGCCCAAATACACACACTAACACAAATTTTCTGCCATTTTTTATTATTGAAGGAATCATGGATCGCCGGAATTAGGTTTGTGACACTTTACACACACACACACACACACACACATATATACATTCACACATATATACAAGTGCAGAAAATATTTCTAAAGTATATTCTGCTTAGCACTTTTATCCCTATTAGAAAAAGTGTGCGAAAAATACCCCTAATCTTTTAACATTGGGCAAAAATACTACATCTGATATATAAATTAGTATTTTAATATCCGTTTTACCTTTTTATTCTTCCGAAAATTATCATGGGGGTATATTATGTACACATTACCTTATTTTATATATATATATATTTTTAACTTTTCTCTCTATATATATCTCTAAGATATTTTATTTTATTTTATTTTTATTTTTATTTTTATTTTATTTTATTTTTAAAAAAAAAAAAAAAACTTTGAGATTTGTAGAATAAGGATTTGAATTTTTTGAAATTCTAGATTACCCTTTTCTACTAATTTTTTTTTCTTCTTTATTTTAATTTTTTTCGTACCAATACTGTTAAACAACAAACGGAAAAAAATCCCAATATCAGTGTGCACTAGTTTTCAGAGTTTGAAAAAAATTTGTTTCATTTAGTTTGCACTTTATTTTTGTTTTTTATTATTTTTTTTATCATTATTTTTTATTTTTTTCTTTACTTAGTCCATTGCTGGCCTCCTCCAATAGTATCATTTACCGTATAAAATTATTTATCTTTATATATTTTATAAAATGATATTCTAAGGGTAAATTAGTCAATTTAGGGCTTAAATTTGTCATAGGACCTATTTTCACCTGATTGAAATTTTAGAAGTATTTTTTTGCATGAGAACGGCAACCTTCAACGGTGTCCTTATCGGTCATTTTACAAAATTATATATTTTTATATATTTTATAAAATAGTTTAATAAGGGTAAAATAGTTTGATATATATTTTTATATCATGTAATACCCCCGAATTTCCGAATGCGGGTTGGCCAGGCCCGCGCCCGAATACCCGAGGATATCAAAACAAATTGATAATAAACGAACACAGAGTACAAAAGAATAAAAAAGAATAAATAAAATGCTGATAAGAAACTAAAATAATAATCTAATAATAAACCTCATAATATATTTCCATTAATTAATAAACTGTTCTGATACAACTGATCCTCCAAAATACAACTCGGGAATCCATACTGTGTGGACCCCTAGAAAATCCAAACTAAACAAATGACAGTAATCTAAAACAGAAAACTGAATCATAAAGGAACTCCTATGTAACATCGGAAGAATGAAGTAGACTGATCCCCGCTCAGTACGAACAACCTCTACTCGTGACGAACACCTGAAAAATAATGGTGGGTCAGACCCACAAACAAGTTCTACTCTACTGCAGTCCAAGCAGAGATCCGATACACGTATACATCCTAGTCAATCCAACAGTAACTAGTAGTCCGTATATATATATATACACACTAAAAGAACCTTACTAGACTATAGGGTTGTCTCAACCTGAATAGTAGGCAACATGCAAAACGCACATGTAGTGGGTATGAGTACCTAGACCTACCAGGGTACACAACTACACTATATCTAGCTACACATCCCTGGCGATATACACGCCCTAACCATTGATCCTGAGACTCAAGCTCATATCATGGCATCATACTTATATATATAAAATCTAGCAACCATTCTATCCAGTATAAATTAATCCTCCATAAGTCATTCAACTTGTTCAGCTGACCTAACTTGAATATAAGTAGGACTTAACATTTTAGTTAATCCATTCCCTTATATAATAAATTAATCCTCCATAAGTCATTCAACTTGTTCAGCTGACCTGACTTAAATATAAGTAGGACTTAACATTTTAGTTAATCCACTCCCTTATATAAAATAGGTAGGACTTAACTGATAAGTTAATCCATCCTTAGAATGCCACCGTCCCATACCGGTGCATTAAACCACACAATCCAACAATTGGTGTAACAATTAAGGAAATACATCAAACATTCCATAAATAACTATGATAAATATGATATCAAGTTATCACATAATAGGAATGACTTATTATTTCTTTAAACTTCCTATATCATATGTCCTACGCAAACTGAATCTTATACATGATGATATTTTATTATACCATTAAATAAGGATTCTCTATATCCAATTCATCCTACACATTTAATCTTAATTGCTAAAATATTTTAAAAGATTAAATCCATTCGTTTGTTTAAAACATTCAAATAGCAAGCATCATTATGATTGAATCTATTTAAATTTATTAAAACC